TATTCTATTATTTATAGCTGTTTAAAAAAAATGCCATAGATTTATAAATATTATAAAAGCATTAATATCAGTGAAATATTATTTGATGGAATATCAAAATTACTATTAAGATACTCTTCATTTATTTTTTAAATGACTATTCTTCTATTATATTGAGAAAAGAGCAAATGACATTTTTAATCATATTCTTTTAATTTTTTTCTAATTACATCCTTAATTTTTATTTGTTTGTCATAATTAATCTTCCATTTAAATTTTTATCACGCTTAATAAAAATGGTTATAACATGTAATACAACTTCATTAAATAGAAACGAATTAATTCTAAATTTAATTACCTATCACGCATTTTCAAATTTAGTCATTGATTTTAAAACTACCAAATTTAGGGGGTGTATTCAATCATGACTTTTGTAGAGTTTTAAAGACTTTTAAAATGATAAATTTTAATAAACTTTGATTGACTTTCATAGAGTCGTTTAAAACTTTTTAAAACTTTATAAGACTTTATAAAAGTCTACACTAGTGGAAATTAGGGAATTTCCGACCACCTGAACGTGATCTTAAATCAAGTTGATACCAAAAAGTGGTCAGAAATAGCAACAAAGGTTTTTCCGGATACCAAAAGTGGTCGGAACAAGGCTTTTGACTTGATTTAAGATCACTTTCAGGTGGTCGGAAATTTTATAATTTTCAGTAGTGCTATATAAAAAACATTCATAGACTTTTATCAACTTTTTATTTTAAAAAGTCTACAAAAATCATTGAAATTCTAAATTGAATACATTCTTACAAACTTTCAATGATTTTGATTCTTAGCATTTATAATTTTTTTACAAAACATTTTTAATATATCATAAAAATTTCTTATTATGTAATTCTTCACCCACATCAATATTCTCAACATTATTATTTTTATCTATGTTGAGACTTATATGCTAATTACTTATATATATTATTAATAAACATAAAAAAATTATTTCATTAGAAATTCATAACAATATTGAATAATAAAATTTATAATAAAAGAATTGATCAAATAAAATATTTAAAAATATAATTACAAGTTGCATAAATATTTTTTTTTAAATCTAATATATATATATATATATATATATATATATATATATATATATATATATATATATATATATACACTTAATATATTGCTAGGCATCACGCAAAGAACTATTATTTGCAATAGCAATTTGAGACTGCGAACAACAACAAGGTGTTATTGTTTGCAACCTCAAATTGTTGTTGCGAACAGTAGTTCGCTATTCGTAGTAACTTGTTGTTAAAAAAGAAAAAAAAAGAAAAAAAATATATATATTACGTGATATAAACATAAAAAGAATAAAAAATCAAAATATATAAGTATTTATTATATGAATATTATGAAACATATACTAAAATTCGATGATGAAAAATTTGCTTTGTTCATGTATTTAAGGAGAATTAGAGGGTTAGGGATAAAAAATTCATAGAAAAAATAAAAATCAATATAAACAAGCAATAATGAAGTAAAAATAATATTATTTCAAATTTTTAGATGAAGATTGTAAAGTTGGAGAGAGAGAAATTGGTAGAGTTTAGGTATGAGGAAAATATAGGATAATGAAGAAAAAAATAATTTTATTAAATTTAGATAGGTTTATAAAGTTTAAATTGGGAGAAAAAATAGAGTTTAAATAGAGAGAGAAAACATTCAATGTTGTTAGAAAGAAAATTTTGAAATCTGGGGGCTGATGTCAACTATTTATATTTGGGAAGAAAAAGTCTACAAAAGTCTTAAAATTAAAAAGTCTACAAAAGTTCAAAACTTTTTGAATACCACGTGACTTTTAAAGACTCTCTAAAAGTCTTAATTGAATACCACACGACTTTTAAAGATTCTTTAAAAATCTTGATTGAATATCGTCTGACTTTTAAAAACTCTCTAAAAATTTGAATTTAATACCCCCAAACTTTTAAAGTTCATAAAAGTCTTTAAAATTCTATAAAAATCATGATTGAATACACCCCTTTTAGTTCTTAAGTATTAAATCATTTCCAATTTTAATATACTGTTAGCTTTCAATCATGGCAATTACGCCAATTGTTCCCACACGCGGGAAACAAATCCCTAATTTTCTTATTCTAGCAATTCCAATTTCAACCTCAATAACAATTTACACATGAAAAAAAAAAAAAAAAAATCTTATAGTGGATTATAAATAAAAATGATTCAATATTGAAAGACTAAATTTAGTAAATTTAAAAGTCAATGACTAAAATTAGAAATAAGTGATCGAAAATCAAAAGACTAAATTCAAAATTAAATTAATATAAAACATCTCAAAATTGAGATAGTTTAATTAAATTTTGCTTCATTTACTCACTAGCGAGATATAGAACCAAGTTTTTCACCCTTTCATATTAAGAAAGAATCCAAACTCACTGGGTTTATGATCAAAGTGGACAGATCCCTTGTGCGCACCGACTTCTGACTATGTCTATTGAGTCATTGAGTTATTGTTATTTACATCCTTTCAAATGTTGTGTTAGGCCTGAGTGTTGGAGGCCCTTAGAGTTGGGAATTCAACCTTTTGAGAGAAGAAAATAATTCAAATTCACTAGGTTTAAAAGTTGGAACTGCATTATTACCACTTAAATAAATGAATGGATGAGGTGGTCAATGAACCTTACTGCGTATTTTCTAAAAAAGATACCAAATTTGCTTTCATAGTTCTTGTCCATACAAATTGTGTGAACATCTACATGAAAATCTTGCATCTATGCTTTTTCTTGACATCATATTTCAAATCTAAGAAAAATTATAAAGATGAGAAAATCAACAACTCAATCCGATAACCGATTCTCTAACTTACTAGGTTTGCCAAACAGAGCCGAAAGCTAAAAAGCTATAAGCTAGGAGCTGAAAACTTAAGAACTGTTAAGTTACCTGTTATGGTTCAACGTGTTTGGAAAAATTAACTTTTTGATAAACTGATAAATGTAAAAAGACTAAAAATAACATCTTCAAAAAATTTAAAGTAGATTGTTTACATATTAAAATTTAACATTTTGAAAAAAAAAACAATTAATATAATCATGATCTAGCATCCCAAAACATCTTCATCCTAACAACAACAGCAGCAGCAGCAGCAACAACAACAACAACAACAACAACAACAACAACAATAATAATAATAATAAAGAAGGTACGAATAAAGAATTTGTCATTTCTTTAAAAATGTTTAATAATAATAATAAAGGATTTGTTGTGAAAGTTGCAGATAAAGGATAAGTAAAGGGTTTTTAATTGAGAAGGGTAAATGATTTTATTCTTTAAAATAATAAGGATAAAAATGAAAAAAAAAAAAAAGTTAAAAAGCTCCTAAATAAGTTCTGCCAAACAAAGCCACATTCAATATAATTGATTGAGATGCGATTTAAACCTAAAACCTTCTTAATGTCCATTAACCGCAAGGTACTTGTCATATTTGAGACAATTTAAAAATGAAAAGAAAAAACAAATAAAATGTGATGCTTTTTTCAAATTTGTTCTTCAAAAAAAGCAATAATTGAAACTAATATAAAAAAGTTAGTGGAAATAAAAAGGTATTGAAAAAGAAAAATCTTATTTCCACTAAAACAATGTTAGGCAAATAAAGTAATGCAAAAAGAGTATCATTTACACAATTTAATTCCCCTTTTCTTTTCATGGGCAAAAAATATTGTGTATTTTTTTAAAAAAATAATGTGTAGATTTAAAATATACACAAAATGCCAATGTTGCAAAAATCGAGCCTAAGCGTCGCCCGACTGCGGCGAGGAAGGCCGGAATCGGCCTCCTCCGTGGCCAGGCGGCCACCTAGACCGCTTAGTCGGCTGAACCATCAACTGTTTTTTTTTTTTTTTTTTTTTTAAGGATTATTCGCCAAAGATAATCTCCAATTAAGCATCAAATGACCAAAATACCTCAATACTAGTGTATTGCTATTTGCTTGCTCAACTACAAAACTTTTTGAATGGAAAATTCTACCTACCTTTGCTATTTTTTTCCTAAAAAAAAAAAAAAAAAAAAACTACAAAACTTTTTGAATGACATGTATGCCTACGACACAATACAAAATCTCCCACCAGGCAAAGGTAGGTAGAAAATAAATAATTTTGTTGTTCCCAAAACGTTGAATCCCCAATTCTAAGAGCCCCACACTATAGTCCGACAGAGCATATGGGAGAATGTAAATCATGGTAACTCAACTGAATAGGGGTTAGAACTTTGTTCACGCATAAAGAGCCCCTTCACTTTGAAAGGTTGCTCTTACACTATCACTGGTGAGACTCAATATCGAGTCATTGTTTCCAAACTTCACCCATGTGATTAACTGAACTGCCATGCGGTAATCACACAGACACTAGAGTACATGAATATGGCATGAATCACCATTGAAAAAAAAAAAAAAAAAGCAACCAAAAGAAGAATCTTTATCTTGAAAGTGACCAACACTCTTTACTTTAAACTGATGCTGATCACATTGAGACAACTTATATCACGGCAACAAAAACAAGGACAATTTGATTGGTCCAGCTTACTATATTTCTTGACTATGTTTGCAAAAGGAATGTGATACCAGATTCCTAAGAGCTTCACATCATCATCCCTTGTAAGCAAAGATCCCCTCCCTGGCAATTTTGTAATTTCCTACTATCATCCTCTCATGGTACTTCCCTCCTATGTGTCATGGGGATGACATTTCCCTCCCCAATTTCATGGCTTTTTTTCTCTTTAAGGTAATTTTATCCCCATACCAAGAAAATCAAATATACATTACCAATGGCAAAAGTTTTACCTTAGTCAACCAACCACAACAATGCACCACATAAAGCGGAATACATGCAATATTACTCTATGACCGATAACTACTATCTGACTTGTTGAACATCATATATATAAATAATAGATATGCAATTCAACTACCAACTTAGGCATTCCGTCTCATGTAAACTATTAAGTCTAAGATTCAATGCACTATGCGGATCAACATGAAACTCTTCCTGCTTGAAGAGTTACTTGTGACAACAAAAGAGGTTGGAATTTGATTTTTGCATTTGTCATCTGAACTTTGATCAGTGAACAAACAAGAATAAGGCTGTGAACATTTATTCTAATGAAATGCCAACACTAGTCGTATATACCTCTGTTCACAAACACGATGTGCCATGTGCGACAAGATGTGGGTGGTGAGATTGTGAGCAGCAGTCTCAGAATCACATACCCCTTTAGAGCATAGCACATCTAACTTCAAAACCACATAGAGTGCTACTGGAAAAGGAAACTGAACCAACACTATAGAATTCTTATTGTAGAGTTACAAATTTTGTTCTGAAACATTACACCGTAACTGTGAAGAGCTATTACCTAATAAATATCAAAAGCATGATGATGATTTACATCCATATAGGTGCCTGACATAATTCAGGAAGCTTGACAAACCACTCGTTTGTACAGTTTGGGACAACCAACACAATCCCGGTCTTAAAAATTAGGTAGCAAAGGCATTCAATGATAGAACGGATTCTTGAATGAAAGTCATAAATCTATATAGACCAAATGAGCAACTTGTGACAGAATGCATAAAATAACATGCATATGAAAGAGGCATAAATTCCCAGCAACGCTTCAACTATTATTCAAAAATTGATCATCCAATATGCCATAGTAATCACAATTTTAGCTTAAAAGTGTCATACTTGGCAAAGAAATTACCATACCGAAAAATTTCAAGAGTCAAGTTAACAGCAACATCGGATGGAAGCAAATGTTTATTAGAAACATACACAAAGGTCATTGCATCAGAAATTGCAGAACTCCATTCTATACCCAATTCTAAAGTTGGTGCAAATACTATTTCACATATCTTTGTGCATTTAAAGATATCCTTGTACTTACAACTAGACACCTATGTTTGCTACATATATATAGTATTACCCGCATCTCAATGAATAACAGGAAGGATAAAACAAAGTTTTCCAGAAATGACCTGCATTCAATGGAAGACAAAAATAAGCAATTTTTTTTTGCCATGAATTCTGCAGATTTATTGATGCACAACAAGCAAATCAAGAAAGGTATCACAATTATCATATGAGCAATAGTTAATAACTTGGCCAACCAAATCTGCAAACCACAAGAGCAAGATAAATAAAACTGTTAATTTTTTTACCAGAAACAAAAAGATAATGAGTAAACTAACCTATCTCAAAGAAGGTACTCCATACAGGGTTGACTTAGTAAATCTTGATGAACTAAAATCTAGCCATAAAAATTCTAGCAATCTTATAACAAAAAACTATCATTATCATATCTATAGCCAAAATGATTAAAAATGAAGTTTCAACCAAACTCCTATAACCCTTTTTCATATACACAACAATTCCATACCTCACAAAGAAAAAAAAAAACTACACAATTTGTTCTTTAAACATCAATACCAAAGCCCCCACCAAAAAAAAAGCATTAAAAGGGAAGTAAAAAACTAGAAACATGAAATATGTAGGCAAGCAAAGAGGGGTAAAGCGCTGGATGCAGAGGTTTATCGATCGATTCCTGTTACGCTAATTTATCCTTTGAGTTTTGAGTTTCAGGAACAGATCGATTAACCGCTGCCTCCAGTGTCTCAACCATCCCCACCAAACACCAAAAAAAAAAAAAAAAAAAAAAAAAAAAAAAAAAGAGCAAAAACTTAAAACCATAGAAAAGCAATGGAGCTGATCTCAAAACACTCGCATATCAACTCAGATCTGAACTCACATTACAGCCAATAGATCCCTAACAAATACATATATCCATCACCGCAAAAGTCCGGAATACATCTCTCATATATTATACATATACGCCAAAATACGGAAGCTCTGGTATACAGAACTGTATAGTTTCATGATATCGGCTATGGAGTACGGATTGGCAGAATCTA